GGGTTCATGAGCTGATCCATCATCTTTAAAAGCATTTCTTAAATGCTTGGGTGCTTATGTTAACATTAAAACTGTCACCCTGAACCCCTCTCTCTGGGCATTGGTCACGCTAGCGGCCAGCACCTCCTTGGGCAGAGGTGGCAGGAGCAGAGGTGGCAGGAGTCCGGTGGGAAACCTGCATGGCTCCCAGCGGGGGGGCTGCTCCGGGACAGGCTTTACAAGACCTGTCCTCCCGCTCTGGGCCTTTCTCTGGAGGCTGGGCCCCGAGCTCTCTAAGTTTCTTTCTGCCACCCTCTCTCCGTACCAGGGATGTGCTCCAGTCCATTAGGGTGCAATGACTTCAGCGGCGAGGAGCACAGCCGCGAGATACCAGATACTGTGGCTCAAGCAACAGAGAAGTCTGTTTCTCTCCGATGTGAAATTCTTGATGGGGCGCAGCGCTGCTGCGCACCCCAGCTCCTCCTCTCGCCATCCTCAGCTCACCTCACGGCCGAAGGTATTTGCTCCCCGCAGCCTGCTTCCACCTTCCAGCCCACAGGACCGAAGCGGGGCAACTGGAAGGGGACACGAGCTGTCTTTCGACCAAGTTCCCGCCGGCCGCCCCCATCACATCCGCTCACGCTCCCTGGCCAGAATTTCGTCCCACGCCGTAGCCGGCAGCGAGGGAGGCTGGGAAGTGCCATCTTTATTCTGGGTGAAAATGAGCTCCAGAAAATTGCCTGTGGATGGCAGTTTTAACCGCGGGGTGCTCCAGATTGAGTGGGTCCTGTGGGTGCCAAGCCAAGGTGAAGGTCAAGCATCCTCTGCCAGGTTGTCTCTGCCCGACTTGGGCTCTGGTAGCGATCATGCAGACCCCCGGGCCCAGTGGGACTGCCCTTCCAGCATCTGTTTTCGGGACTGGCCTTTGGCTTCAGGGCTCAGAGTATGGATGTTTCCTCATTGTTGAGCCGCACTGGCTCTGTGATCTTGGATCTGAACCTCTTTGTGTCTCAGTTTCTTCATCTGGTAAATGAGGCTAATAATAGTAGCCACTATTGTGAGGATTAAATGAATTAGCAGAGCACTTAAGACAATTCCCACAGCTTGGTAAGTGTTCGATAAGTGCAACCTATTCTTATTAGAAACCGAAACCAGCATTCTTCTCTTGTCCATTTTGTCTATAAATAGTGCAGGGCTTCTCTCTCAGATGGCAGGTAATGGTTTTGGAAAAGACAAGCCTGGTTCCTCAAGTCACCCGCCGTCCATTCTATGCAAAGGAAGTGGTATTCTTTATCCAGACTTCCTGACCTGGTGGACTGATTTAAAGACTAAAGCCCGCTGCTCACCTGTCTAATCAGAATCAAAGCCAAGTGTCCGCGTGGTCCAAACACCTTCCCTGATTTCTTCCTTTGGAAAAACCCCCTCTGTGTTTAAAGTACGCTCTGTCTGAGCCCCCTAAAGCACTCCTCCTGTTTCTACTATTTTCTCCCCGATATTAGAGGTCACATGCACATCCCCCAATGGTCCCATGTCTCCATAGATGACCCAGCAGGTTTTACTTTGTGTCATCTACAATGCCCTGCATACAACAGGTGCCAAGTTTGGGTGTCAGTAAATGACACCAAGAGTGAGCCCTGTCAGGCTGAGTGCAGTCAGCTGTAAGAAGAAAATCAGATCAAGGGCACCTGAAATAGTCAGAGCGTGGAATTGCATCTGAGGGCAGAAAGTGTGCAAGAGCAGCCCCAAAGCGGGCCCATCCATCCAGCACTATCAGCTCCCGGCCCTCTCAGGGGGCCTCCCTCCTAGTCACAGAGTAGCTGCCACAGCTCCAAGCACTGATCTCCCCACGTATTAAAGTAGAAACTCTTTCCCTTTATGTCACTGGCCAAAACCAAGTACTATGGCCAGTCCCTGGAGAGGGAGAATTGGGGTTGTCACCAATCGTGGGCCCTAAGCTAGGCTGGGCTCCCCGCTGTCGATAACTGACTCGTTAGCAGAAAAGGCGTGCTAGCCACTGTGCGGACAGCCAGCCGTATCTGTTGCCCGGCTTTGCCGGCACTTTCATGTCAAGGAAATGGAGAAAGCAGAGCAATTCCTCTTCACAGAAGGGAGTAGATTTCCGGAGGAGAGACCAGCGCACATTTAGAGCACCCTACTAGCCTTTCGTGAGTATTTGGAAGTGGCCATCGCATAGATTTCAGATCATGCTCAGTTTGCAAAACATCTTCCTGTTTGAAAGGCAGGGTCACCAAGTGTTTAAGGACATGGACAGAGCTGGGAAGCAGCACCTCTTCTGCCATTTTCTTGGCCAGAATTGCTGGGTGATCTTGTGCGTTTATTTAACCTCTCTGGCTCCGTTTCCCATCTGCAAAATGGGGATAGCCACAGGCTCTGTGTCACGGTTCTTTCTGAGATGTAGGTACTAATGCAGACATCGTTTACCACAGTGTTTGCACACAGGAAACACCCTGTAATTTGCTATTCTTCCAAGTCTTTATTTCATGATCTGGACACCCCTTTGGGATAGAAACAATGAGAATGTTAAGGCTCAGAGGAGGTGGATGACTTGCCCACCCTCCCACAGCTGGTGCGCAGGTGGGTGTGGTCCATGTGGTGCGTGCAATGTGTTCAGGGCCCTCAGCCCTCCAGGCCCCCTCCTCCCCTGGTCTGTGCACGCTTGCTGAGGGCCACACTGGCCTGAAAGTTGTCTCACGGGTGATGTTTCCTTCCCCGTGTGCTGTGAACTGTCTGAGAACACAGACTGTATCCCAAGGCCTCGCTTAGGCCCCAGCCCCTAACGCCAAGTGGGGCACAGGGAAGGCTCTGCCTAGCTGGATGGGTTTTGAACAGGAGCTGGAGGGATGGAGCTTCAGGGGGGAGCTTCCCCAGGGGAAGCGGGGTGCGGTGTGTGCCTTCCAAGCCTCAGGCTGGGGTTAAGAGGCGGGGAGACTCCGAAAGCGCCCCCCCGACTACACTTAAGCTTTAGGAAACTGCGCATCACGCATTAGCAGCAGAAAAAACGAATACAAATCAATTTGTGTCTGAATTTACTCTCAGAATTCCCTGTGGACTCTATAAAATACCGTACTACCTATTTCTTCTCACCCATCTAGCTGTGGAGGCAGTGGCAGATTTACATTATTTTCCATCCACTAAGATTTTTTTTTTTTTTGCTTTTGGTTATGTTTGTAAGAACATTTATTGCCTATAAAGAGGTGTTTTCATTAAAGACAACAGTGCCCTTTAGGTAGTCACAGAATGTTATTTCACAAATACTTATAAAACTATTAAACAAGCTGGGATGCTGGGGCTTCTATTAAAAGGTGCTTTCCACTCATCTTTATCTCCAGAAGCCCCATGAACTTGCTTAACTACTACGTCTCCCACTGGGAGGAGACCCACTGGGGAAAAATGTGGGAGATGGACAAGGCTGCAGAGTGTGGGGAGCAGGACTACGCTGTACCCCTCCACCCTCTCCCGAGCGCCCCATCTGCCCTGGGGATCTAGCTCAGGAGTTTGCTTTCAGCCTGATCCAGGAGGCCTGGAGCGTTGCTGGCTTGCAGAGGGAACCCAGAGGGGTGAGGGAGGCCACGGTGGTGGGGGGGACCCCTGGCTGAGAGGCCCTCGGGGGTAACTCCCTGCCTTGCCACTTACTAGATATGTCCAGAGCCAGTAACGCGGCCCCTTTGCCTTGGAACGTGTTTGGGGGGTGTCTGACCCCAGAGGGTTCAAAAATATGTCCCTCAAAAGGGAGGAAACGTGAGGACACTGGCGCAGGCCTTCGCCACGCCGGTTGCTTCCAGATCCTTGTCCTGGGGCTGCCCCTCCGCTGGGCACTCCCTGGCCGCATCCAGGCGTGTGAGCAGAGGCTCTGGGATCCCAATGAGCGGGCGAAGGGCCCAGAAGTGGAGTGTGCTCGGGGGCAGGCAAGGGAGCCCGGCCGCTCCAGGAAGGAAACGCACGGGCCAGAGCGAGATGAGCCGGTAGCTCAGCCCAGACGCCAGCGCCCTGAGCCTGAATCACTTGCTAGGCCTGGCCCCAAGTCCGCTCTTCTGTCACTGCCAACAGGACCGCAGGGCCAGATTTAAAGGCAGCGAAGACATGTCCTGAGAACCCCCCGAAGACACGTCTTCAGGCACCTCTTTTCCACAGCAGGGTCATAAGTCATGTCTCCCACGTGCTCCCAGGCCAGACACTGTCCCGAGCACCGGGCCATCATCGTAGGGCCCCCGGCGCGGTTACTGTGACCATCCCCACCTCGTGGGTGCGAAGCGGGCTTGCGAGAGGCTCCCCGGCTGGTTCGTGATGGGCTGGGATTGGCCCGGGCACCGAGGCCAGAGCGGATGGCCAGCCCTGTCCCGGCGGCTGGCAGCGTGCTCCGGCCCCAGCAGAACTGGGGAGAGCGGGGTCGGAGTCCAAGCTGCTTCCCGACGAAGCCGGCCACGGGGTGACTGTGTGCTAACCGTGCAGCGGGGGTGCTGTTCCGCCTCATCACCCGCCGGCACCTAGGGCGTCCCGTGCCCTAGCCCTGTGCGGGCACCATCCCATGTCTCTCCACCACCTGCGAGAAGGCAGGCACTGCCGTGACACCCATTTTAAAGCCGAATTGGCCCTAGAACCCCCATTCTCCAAATATTTGGATTTTTTAAACATTTTCATGCGGTCGTCATTTCACATCCCCTTATCACCAGTGCCCACGGCGCCCCCTCCCTTGGATGCCAGGATGGCCGAGGTGCCTAAGCATCTCCACTGTATGTGCTGCTCATCACACAATACTCCCCCCCCTCCCCCGGAGCCCCCTCTCGCGGGCTCTCCAGCAGGTAGAGCTGTGTTATTTTAGGCCTGTTTACTTGGTCTCGGAGTAAAAAATTGCCTTTAAATCCGCTTGGAAGTATTCCCTGGTCGCGTGTGTTCACACATTCTCAGAGGCCTGCCTCCCCCGTTTGCCTGATTCGGAGGTTTTGTTGCACTGGGAGAATGGTAACTGACAAAACGTTAAGTAATGGCGCTGAAATGTAAAGTAATTAATGCAAGAATAATAGTACAGGGTGGGGATCTCGGCGTTTTAATGAGAGCTCAGGAAGCTGCCTGACTGCAGACGTGAAGCTGGAGGGAGCGCGCGCTGGCGTCATTAGTGCTGAATATTAACAAGTGACCTCTGAGCACGATCGATGCTGGGACCTCGTCTCCTTTCCTGCCACCCGGAACCTCACCTCTGCGACTCTGGGGTGCTGTTAATAGAAAAAGATAATCACTGGTCTGCCCTCATCTGCTGTGGAACCTTTCCAAAGATTTTTGAGGGTGCAATTAGAAATCACTCTTTTTAAGAATATGTGTATATATGTGTGTGTTTTTATTCTCACATATTTATTCAATGCCTGCTCTATAATGAGAGTTTTAACTTTGTTTTCCTTTCCATTATCACGGAAAAGAATGGATTATGGAAAAAAGATGAAAGTGGCATAATGCGATACGGTGTTTGCTAATGTGCTGTCAGAGGTATTAGGTCTTGCCAAGGTTTGTGTCTTTTATGAATGCCTTTCAGATTGCAATTATCTAATAGACTTGGAAACCCGTTTGTATTCCTGCAGGCATTAAACGTCGTCTTTGAAAAAATCCCAGAAAATGAGAGTGCAGATGTCTGTCGGAATATTTCAGTCAACGTTCTTGATTGTGATACCATAGGCCAAGCCAAAGAAAAGATTTTCCAAGCATTCCTAAGCAAAAACGGCTCTCCTTATGGACTTCAGCTGAATGAAATCGGCCTTGGTAAGGCAACTCGAGCTCTCGTCCCAACCCCCCTGGCATCACCCCCACCCCAACCCCTCCACATAACACTTCTGTGGAGGATGCTTCCATGATGCGGGTCGCCCCTGGGGAGCATGTCTAGGGGCCAGGAGGCAACACTGCTGTCCTGGGAGCATCCTGATTCGTGACCTAGAAGCATAAGCCTTCAGAGTTGCTGTTGTCTAAATGTTACGTTTGTAAATCAGATGCCCAGATTGCTAACCCTGACACCCGGTGGATTCACCTTGCATCAAGACGTACAGGAAGGTGTAAACCCTGTGCCCTCTGTATGTGTTGCATTTCACATTGGCATTTGATTTGTTTGTTGACACTGAGTGTGTCATTAGTGGGTGGCTCAGACTCGGGGTGTGAACTCCAGCACTCTAGAAAGGTCATCTTCCTCTCTGCTAATCACGTCCTGCATTAAGTATATTCTCCATCCTCCCCCAACAAGCAGCAGCATCTGCTGTGAATTCATTTTCGGGCTCTATTGGTATACTGCAAAGGCGAGCATATGCGTGAGCGAGCTAACAGGGCTCCACTTCACTCAAATGTTCATCAACATTTTAAAGTTGAGCTCCACGCAGCCCTCCCAGGAGACCGTCGTGGGATTTTATAGCAGATAATGGGACAGAAAAGAAGAAGAAAACTGTAGCAGTGACAGGCAGCGTAACAAGGTTCACCTCCCTGATGTACAATTGTAGCCTCCGCTAAGCAGGCAATTAAAATCATCCCACCCCGCTCGGCAAGTCCACCCTCCTGGTAAAAGGCCACTGAGAAAAGCCCAGAGGCAGGGGCTGAGGAATGTGGGGGAACCGTGCGGCCTGCACAGCGACCGGTGACTTGGCGCGGCCTCTTTTCCATTGGGTGGATTGATGGTCACTTGAATTCATGTGGCCAGATGTGGGGGCAAAGCCAGAGACCACGTGACCAGGATCTTCAGTCCCTGCCCTGAGCCGGCTTCTCCCAACCGTGGCTCTGCCCGCAGACAGGCACGTTTCCCATGGGGGAAGCTGCCCGGGGCCTCCATCCTGCCACCGCCCCCCCTCCCATGGTGGAACACCCCTCGCGGGCGTGGGCCCCTCAGGTGTTTTTTTTTTTTTTTAAAGCATTTTTTTTTTTTTTTTAAGATTTATTTATTTATTTATACAAGCACTGGGTACAGTCAGAAGCACGGGAGGGTGAGAGAATTCACCAGAGCCAGAGAGGAGAGCAGAACAGGCAGAGTGATGAAGTACACTGCTGAGGGGAGCAGCGGGCGGCAGGAGAGGTCTGCGCGCCATGTGGGACCCTCACCCGGCAGCCGGGGATCGAACCGGCGTAACAGAGGCCGCAGGCAGCTTCGCAACCCAGCGCTCAACCGCTGTGCCACGGGGGAGGCCCCCCTCAGGTGTTCCGCTCTGATGCGGGAGGGCAGGGAGCAGGACCAGCTGACCTGAAGCTTCACACTGTGCCCTGGTGGCAAACGGGACACAGCACATCAGCCATGGCAGGCTTCTGTGCGTCGGCGGGTATCCCAAACTACTTCCAAGGCTGATCTCAGAAAACTGAGGCCAAAACCAAACCCCGCCATACATTGTATTGAATTCCAATAGCAGAAGCAGCTGTGCTCAGTCCTTGTATAGCAGAGGCTCGCAAACCCAGATGCCCAGGGGGACAGGAAGTATCATAAATAGGGGGTGTCAGCCTGCCTAGGACAATAGGAAGTGGTGAGGTCTGACTTAATTTGGAATGATTTATGGCCCCATCCAAGGAGGCATTGCGGCTGAGATTTAGCTGGTTGTGCCGTGCGGGCCTGTACGGTCAGTGTTACCAGACGGTCTGATTTTTTTTCTTTTTAAGAGAAATCAGAAGTCCAAGCTTTTATATTGCAACAGCCCTATTTTTGAATGTCACTAAATTGACATGTGTAAGATACTGCAAATTCACAAGAAGAAAACACACATTTGTGGGCCACATTCTGGCCCTGGGGCACATTTCTGCAAAGGAGTTTGAACCCCGAGGAGAGGAACCTAGACCCCCAGTGTGTCTCCCCCCACGTCTTCCCCCAGCGCACGCACAACGACCTAAAGCGTACAGGTTCACAGCGCGCCCACTGGCGAGCACGCGAGCACGTGTGTGAGCATACAGATTGGCTTTGGGAATTTTCTGAAGAGCTTAGTCCCCTGCAGATGCATTATTTTGCCTTCATTTGGCTTCACTTCCAGGCTTAGCCTCAGTAAAAGCTTCAGGGAAGAGTGGTCTTAAAAGGGAGAGCCCTACAAACAATTTACAGAACTGGGCTACCAGTCTTGTTGACATCTCTCTCACCCTTCAAACAAATATTTACTTTAGTTTTAATCTATTTATAACTAATTGCTACAAAAGGAACAGGGTAGTACTTAAATTTAATTTTTCATTGTAATTTTGAGAACAAAATGTCCCTTTGTTGTCCCCCCAGAGCTTCAGGTGGGTACACGACAGAAAGAACTTCTGGATATTGACAGTTCTTCAGTGATCCTTGAAGATGGAATAACCAAGCTGAACACCATCGGTCACTATGAGGTAAGAAGGGCATTTAATTCCCCCACTTCTAACTGGGTTAGATGATCTATAGCACCGCGTACATGTTTCCTTCTAGGGCTCTCGCGCTTATTCTGGCAGCACATAGAATTAAAAAAAAGCTATAGGACTTACATCCATTTTCTGGGCTGGTGTGCAGTGGCTAGTTTGGGTAAGGGGAGGCAGTTGTTTTCCTTACTTGCTCGTGGAGCAGAGCACGTGAAGAGGGCCTTGTGGCCCACTTGTCCAGCGTCCACCCTCTGCAAGGGCTCCTGTTTTCGTGTCACCTAATCACTGTCCACCTGCGGTTTAGGTGGGAAACTTGGCCTTGACAAGCATCTCAGGCGTCTAGAAGCATGTGTCTCAGCAGAGTCACAGAAGAGTTATCATTTAGCTGGACACTAGACAGCTATTCAAATCCTAAGTCTTTCTGTGTCCACAGTGTTCACAATGCACCGTATAACCTCCTTTTTCTGAAGAGGTTCTGCATTTCCTAGTAACTATTCAGCAATACTTCCTTTGACCCCTGATCCACGTGCTGGGTGAATGTCAAGGTGGGTGAGGGGCAGACATGACCTCTCAGAGAGCTGAGTGCTAGAGAAGCAGGGGTGAAAGGCAGGAAGGTGCCTGGGCCAGCTGGGACACTGGGAGTCGTTCCGCAGCCATATTGAAATCTTTGTGTTTGTATATACTATGCACCTCACACGTGTCTTTGCCGTGTCCACTATGCGCTAGGGGCTGGGGAAGCAGGAGGAACAAAGGCCGGGTTCCTGACCTGACGGAGCTCCAGCCCCTTAGAACAGGTGGACAAGGGAGGAGACAAGTCATGCCGCAGCACCCTAACAGTGCAGTAGTGTTCTTTGTGGCCTGGAGACCCTGAGAAGGCTTGCTGCTGGGAGCTAGGACTAAGCTGAGATCTGAAGAGTGAGGAGGCGCTACGAGGCTGGGGTGGGATGCCAGCACACCCGGCAGGGAAGAGCGCGCGTGCACATTCTTTTGTACCAAGACTTTTAGACTGGTTGAAACTTGAGCCTGGTCGATGGCAGCAAGAGCCAGTAATAGCGGTTTATGGTGCCCCTATTGTGCCAGGTCTTATCGTCAGCATTCCTTTATTTTGACTCTTAATCCTAATGCAGTTCTGTGGGGTAGGTTCCATTATTAATTGGCTTTATGGATGGGTATACTGAGGCTTCTGGGGGTTCACTGAGAGCTGGTTAGTGGCCAGTGAAGAGTAGGCCCCGGAGAATTGAGCTCTAGGGTCTGTGGCTCTTCCAGTGCCACCGTGGTTTCTCATGGAAGACGGCCAGAGAGGCGGGGTGGAGGCCAGAGGTGGGGCGCACCGGTCACACAGACCCAGTTAGTTTCTTTAGTAGGAGTTTCAGTTTGATCCACGAACAGTGGGAGCCAATGATGAGTGATGCGGATCTGGAAATGGGGAGACCCATTAGAAATTGTTGTTAGAATTCCAGGTTAGGAATGAAGCCGACCAGATGACACAATGTCTCCGTACAAATGATGGGTTCAGAGATAGGCAGGAGAGGACAGCACAGACGAGCGGCTAAGATACTGGAGCGAGGGAGGTGTCGGGGTTGACTCGGGGCAGCCGAGCAAATGCTCTTCCAGGAGAGGGACACGACAGGAGGAAGCGCTTCCCAGGCCACTGGGACAGTGGGTGCCTCCTGTCTTTCGTGGCTCTTGGGCCCCAAGGAGACATGTCTGCACTAGGCAGGCCTTTGGACCCTGCTCTTTCCTCACCCAGAAGGAACTGAGACTGTTCCTGGAGCAGAGCTTTCTGCACAACAGCCAGGAACGGAGGCCTTCATTCTGGCTCTGTGGCTGACTGGGTCTCATAATCAGTTTGGAAACAGTGGCTTTGCGTGATGCTAGGTGGGTGCGGCCCCAC